ACCGTAAGAGTAATTAGCTTAATGGATAGTGTTGTTGTAAAATTTTCATTGCAATGTTTGACTTTATGAAATAATTAGTAGCAATTAATAGCGGTTACATGAATGTTGAAGTGAGGAATTTGAATTGTTAATTATAACTATATATTTATTTTTAATTAAATCATTCTTACAGATATTAGCATCATGGCTTCATTTTTGGGTTCATGGTTCATGGTCAGTTCCACGAACAATTAGCGCCGCAGTGCCATTCTTCATTTTTGCTTCTATTTTAGTTAGTTTTAATTGACTGTTAGCTATCACCATAATTGTAATTAGTAATTTCAATAGATATAAAAATTTGCATTAAATAATGTTTAAGAATAAATTTACAAATTGATAATTATGATAAAAATCTGGTTGAAAATGATGAATATTCGATGAATCCAACAAAACCAAATAAACTATTTTTAAGTATTTGAGAAATTTAATTTTTAAATTTTTTTTTCTTACAGATATTCTATCCGCAGCCTCATCTATCAGCATATGGTATTAGCAGCTTACAAATATGGCTTTTTTTCTGTCTTTTTTTGACATTTGCATCATTAATTGAATATTTCATCGTTATTTGTTGTGGAATAAGAAGGACCATTCGGTACAGAAATGGAAAGGTCATGAAAGATGATGAATCACCTCTTACTGTCACTAGAGAAGTGAGTATTTTCATTTAGTTTTTCTTTTTTAATCGATGAATATATATAGCTCTATGAAATTTTAAAATCATTCCATACATTTCTAATTGAATCATACAAAAAAATCGAGAATAATAATTTAGCTAATTGAAAAAAAAACAATTTAAAAATTACAACAATCTACAATAATGGATGAATTTTTAGTAGCAATAAAGGAATATATTAATAATTCTAATTAATAATTTAATAATTAATTCTTTTCTCTTTTTTTTTTTCAGACGGTAGAAGTTGCATATGACACGAAATGCGCTAATTTCAAGCACAATCATGGCATAGATCTTGTTTCACGCTTGCTTTTTCCCATCGTTTTTCTTATTTTCTTCATTATCTTTGTCATCTTTTATTTGATATAATTAATTTACACAACATACCTGTCTTTCCATCTCTTCCATTTCCATCAAATTACATATTAAAAGTTGTAAATTTAAAAGAAAAAAAAAACAAGAACCCTCATTTCACAGTTCGTCATGTTATTATCGAATATAGGGATGAAAAATCAATCAGTCTAATTTGACCTTTTGTAGTTTGCTTTAAAAAAGCATTTATTTATTTATATGCGTAAAAAATTATCAAATACAACTGTGCATTGTTATCAGTTTTGCTTGAATTTGAATAATTAATTATTAATCTCATCATTTTTGATTTAAGTTTTTCAAAGCAAATCACTGTATTCAGAAAATGGAAAATAAATTTAAAAAAGAAAAAAAGACAATGGATGCAAAATTAATGATCAATTAATTTTTGTTTATAAAAAAAAGAAATGCAAATTCATTAAATATGATGAGATCCTAATTGGATTGTCATATTTTTCCAATTTAATTTATTATCAAGATTGAAATTTGCTGCCTTTTTTTCTGCACAAAATAAATATTTAATTTTAAGAATGGATTTGATTTAATCCTATCTGAAAAAAAAAGAGCAAAAAAACGATTAAAAAAATTTTTCTGTCATTTACAATAAATAAATCATTACCATCTCTTTATTAACAACATTGAAATATAGCAAAAAAAATGAGGAAAAATTAAAATCAAAAATGAAACAGAAAGTATAAAAATAAAAAACAAAATGATCGCTTCACATTTTTCGAGTTTTTCAGTGCCACCCATGTGGTGGTCGGCCTACATCAACATACATGTGATAATACAGAGGACGTTTAATGACCTGAAATTGATACTGGAAATAATTCAAACAACGGTTTATTTCAAAAAAAAAAAACAAAAATGCTGCTAAAAAAAGCCTATTGATGGGAACAATAAAGATTTATATTTTAAGACTTTAACTTAGCTTACATACATTTTAAGTTCATAAAATATTTTGAAAGAATGTTACTTCTGGACCATATCTGTGTAGTAGTAGTATGATGACTTAATATAACCTGTGATGTAACAATTTCAAATTTATGAAATTTACATTACATCTATGCTTGTTAGCCATTTATTAGTCAGTATTAAATTTAAACAGGATTTCAAATTTCTACAAGATTTGATTGTTTCAAATTGTATACCTTAATAATTCTCCATGATATATTTGTCACTCCATCCCATTGCATACGAATATGCGAAGCTTTTAGCATACGTCTACTAGAAATGAATTTCTCAATTATTTGCAATTTTCGCCTTAAAGGTTAAAGTTCAAATAATTTTAAATGCTTTCCTAAAACTCAAACTGGCATTAATTGACATCAGATTCTTTTGAAACATTCAAGAAATCTTAAATGATTATAAGCAACAATATTCACAAAAATAATTCTCTTCTCCAATAAATATTCATTAAATTTTCTCATCATTTCTTAAATTTTTCTTCCTCTAAAGTTAAAGTTCAACTGATTTAATTCTTTTCTACCGAAATGCACGAACATTAATCGATTATTCGAGTCTTTTCGTTTGATATGTTCTAACATTACATATCGTCCAATAAAAGCATCCGGTCTTTCAATTGTCATATTCAATGTTAAAATACGTATTCCTAAAAATTTTAAGCTTTAGTTTTATTTTTTAGTTTTTTTTTTTTTTTTTCAAAACATCTTATCTAAAATTTCCTAAATTATATATGACACATTGAAAGATCTTATGATAGTATAAATTTAATTGGAAAGTATTTCGAACAATTTGTGCTTAACATGCTTATCATTTGAAATAAAAACGCGCAATCTTGCATGATTCATTTTCTGAATCAAATGGCGCCATATTTTATTTATATCAATTATTGTCCTTCTTTCTCCCACTCTCTCTCTCTCTTTCTCTCTCCCTCTTTTCGTATATTTAACTTTTTCAGTATAAAAGTAAAATACTAACCCATATCATCATCCTCACCTCCCCAACCCCAAAACTCATTGGAAAAACCGTTAACAGCATGGAAATGATTCATGCGAATTGCAAGTACACCACCAACTATTTCAGCATACATTAGACTAAAATTACTGAATTCACTTATTACTGATATAAATGATTATCTCTTTGATATGTTACAATTATCTCAGAATTGATATTTGTAATGATAGATTGGTGAAATCTTCGTATGAGAAATAAATATCATTATATGAGTTACGTTTAAATCTGAGTAAATTTTAAATCTTGTATAAGTTATGCTTAAATCTGAGTAAATTTTAAGCCTTGTATGAGTCATGTTTAAATCTGAATAAATTTTTAACCAAATGCAATTACCCACATATATATACACATATATGTGTTATTCATAAAAACCAGCATTTGAAAATATTTTTAAGAAATTTTGATAAACTTAAAACTAATTGCAAAATTTTACATACAAATTTTAATTCTAAAAATATATTTAAACATTTAAAAATTTTGAATTAAAATAGTGAGAGCAATTTTTTTTTTAAATTTTAGATAATAAAATTTTAAAAAGAAAAATGAAACTTTTACTGTCATATACGATAACCTTGTAGTGAATTGAAAAGAAGTAAAGAATATGAATGAATGCTTAATGGATTATTTGAAATTGTTTCAGGTGAGAGAAAATTTATTTCAGAAAGCTAACCGATAACCTAAGGTATTTACATAAGCACCGATATGTCGCGGTGTATCGGGACAACCGTAATTAATCCGATCATCTGCTGGAAACATATCAACATCATGAAATATTACACAATCCATTTTCAGTTTTTCCGCTAAACAAAATGCTGCATTCATTAGTCGTCCTTTGTTGAACAATTCTTTTCCGTACTGTAAGAAAAAAAGATTCAAAAATATATTTGAAAAGAATTATATTAGACAATTACGGTAAGCCTGTATACAGATAGTTTTCCGTTCCGGAAATACACCGAACATTTCAAATTTACATACACTGATCTATTCTTATCTTCAACGATATTTGGAAGTTATATAATGAATAAATTCGAAGAAGTAAAATGTATTTGTAGAATTCTTCTCGCTAACTTTTTTTTTTACGATATCAAATTTTCCATAAAATGGTATTTCCTTCAATTATAGCATGAGTTTTTTTCGCTTTTTCTTGTGACTAACCAATAAGTATGAATGTAAACATAATTTAGATAATTTAATAATTAATGTTGGTAATTTATATTCATCTAAAATAAATGAATATAAATTATCAATGTTTACACATCTAAAAAGTTTTAAAGTAATAAATGAGGAATTAATAAAATTTCAACAAACCTGTTCAGTAACAATAAATCGGAAATCAAGATTCTGATTTGTCAGAATTGGAAATAAAAAATCAAGC